TGTAAAGCATCAACAAGAGCAGAGCCTCCGAATTTGAAGAGGGCTGGAGGAAGATCATCTGGTCCCGCGGCTTTGTTCAACTTCAACAGTCCGATCTCACGTTCGACTTCTGAGCAAGAGGGTGGATCCAAAGGGACAGCCCACGGAGCAGGGCGATCTGTGGTCGGCGAATCGAACAACTCTAGCCGATTAAATTGCTTTTCAAAATGCTCAGCCCAACGCTCCAAACATTTTGACAAATTGTGGATAGGCTTTCTAGTCTCATCACAAATTGTTTCACTAACACCAGGTTTCCTGCTGCCCGTTTCCCGTATCAGACGGAATAACTTACAATGGTTACCAAGGGCAGCGGCCATTTCTATCTCTATTGCACAATGAGACCACCAAGATTCGCGGTCTGTCTTCAGGCTAGCACGGAGTTTCGCCCGGAGCCCTTTGCGAGTTTCATTGTGTTCGCTTCCAGCCGGAATATGCCAGCGAGCATCTATAAATTCCAGAGACTGTGAAGAGACCCAATGTCCATGTTGGCTTTTAGACATATCACATGAGGATTTGCCCGCTGCTAGTAAGGTCTGGCGAACATGTGACCAGTGACCATCAATTGTCTCCAGTGAGCGATTACTCAACTCGCATGTCAGCGTACTTCGATACGCATTCAGAACAGCTGGCTTTGTCAGTTGGCTGGTGTCAATGCGCTCACAGCGTAGTCGTGGGCGTCCGCCAAAGCGCATCCGCATGTCAGCACATACAAGTGCACGATCGGTGTCCACACATGTGCTCCAAATAGAGCGACAATTCTGGATGCAGTCTCTCCAGCGGTAACTAATAGCAATGTGATCGATCTACGTCCAGGGCTGGTTCGAGGCTGGTGGGCGCCAAGTCACCCTCCGGCGGGTGCTGTGTCGGAAATTAGTGCTCGCAAGAAATAAACGAGCATCTTCACACAAATGAAGTAAACGCTCACCATTATCATTACGGGAGCCTATACCGTGCTGACCGCCCAGATGCAGCTCATCAGTGGACAACTTGCCAACTTGTGCGTTCATATCCCCCGCTAGCACAACAGTGTCCGTGCTTCTTCTGTGGCGGAGGAGCTGAGTCAGTTGGCGGTAGAAGTCGTTCTTTACCGACTCATCGCTACAGTTTGTGGGCGCGTAGGCAGAGATGATGGATGGACACCTATTAGTCCCGCGCAACTTCGAAGCTTTGAACGAGCCAGCCAATCGGACCGCACAAATCCGGCTACTGATTGGAATCCAATCAACCAGAGCAGCTTCAGCCCGGGGACTCAGCGCAATGTCAACACCAGCTTGGCCGGTGCTCGAAGCTGAATCGTCACCGGATAGGCGCAATGTGAAAGTGTTGCTAGTGTCACCTGAAGGGGATTGCAGAGTGAGCACAGAGCTCGAGTTTTGCAGCCAGGTCTCTGATAAGCAGCAGATATCGATCGAGAGGGTCTCCAATGTTCGGACAAGTGTTGCCTGTTGACCGATTTGTAGCAGTGTGCGTACATTGAGGCATGCCACTCTGAAGGAGGATCGAGGGCTCCAAATGGAAGCCGATGAACTGGAATGGAACGCTTGGTTGGACATGGGCTTGTCGACAGGAGAGGAGTGACGCTCCGCATTAGCATTTGAGTTGAAATTAGAAGATAAATGCCTAGCAAAGCATGTTGGGGGAGGGTCAAAAATTGGGGGGTTGAAAACTGGGGGCATAAAAGTGAAGTTGGAACGGGACGGTAAGAGTGAAAAAGCGTAAGATGGGGAATAAGAAGACGGGAAGGCTTGAGCAGTAGCATCCAAACCCCTATCCACCCTGCTCGATGCAGCAGATAGGGCACCGTTGATTATCCTCTGCGGTGACCAGAGTATCAGCAATTTGTTTGAAGAGAGATTCACTGCTACACAAAATGCTTCCCAAATAAGCATTTCTGTAACAAATACTTAATGTTTGTACCATGGTTAGTCACCGCTCTCCATGATTCGCATCGTTTCTTATGTATGCACAATCAGTGGGTGTGGTCTGAGGGTATGGAATTCGCTTTCCACTCCTCCAAAGATAAATTGGCCAGTCCATCTGTTTTGACCCACTTTGACTCCCAAAACTACATGTAGTGGACATGGGATCCATTACCATACTGCCTCGGAATCCCTTGCTACAACCGGATGTCAGAAGAGTAGACAAACCGGTTGCATTTACCATTGGAACCTCTTCCAGGCTGCCGGTCGAAATTACACCCAGGTTAACAAGGAGTCTTTGATGGCTGTATTTGGGTTTGCCCGTTTTCACCAATGCCTGTTCTGACAGAAGTGTGAAATGTACAAAGACTACAAACCGTTACTTGGAATTCAGGGCGAACCTAACGCGATATAAAATGACATCACCCCGTATGCTTCGCTGGGTCCTACTACTCGCTGCTTATCAATATCAACTAAAATATCTTCCCGAGTAAGAAAAGGTGTGTACCGGCACTTTTAGCCGATGGGAAGTTCCGAGACACACATCAGGTTTGAGAGAACTGATGAAAGTAATATGTTGGTTGGATAATTTACCAGTAACAGCGACAGAGATAAAGTCACAAGCATTAAGTGACTCTGAATGGTAGACGATATGTGATTATATTCTTACTAGCTGGGCGGACCAGGGTCTAAGAGCATTTCACAGTCGAAGAGATGAATTGAGCCTCGAGGATGGTTGTATACTTTGGGGCTCTCGAGTTGCCGTTCCCATACTGCATCGTCAAACAATCTTGCAGGAACTCCATATGGGTCCCAAAAGAAATTCAAAGATGAACGCACGAGGGCGTAACTATATCGGCTGGCCCGCTGTCGATCAGGAGATAAAACAAATTGTACAATTTTGCGCTAGCTGCCAAGTGATTAGATCATCTCCATCGTTTGTGCCAAAGTTGCCATGCCAATGGCCCATTCTCCCGTGGGACAGAATACACATTAACTTCTCTAGACCCGTCAATGTCTCCATGGTGTTTGTTGTAGTGGACGCATATTCCAAATCAATAGAAGCAACGGAACCACACCCATGACTGAGTTGATCATTGTGCACATCTTAATGAACATATACGCTACATATGGTGCATCATATACAGTTGTCTCAGATAATGACTCGGCAGTTGCCAGTGACGGGTGTGGGCAATTTTCGCGCTAAACTGGAATCGCACACGTTCTCTTAGCATCATACCACCTTTCATCCAATAGTTTAGTAGAGAATGGCTGCGACAGTGGCGTGGCCAAACAACAGTCTGAGGTTTATAAACTTGTTTGGACAAATTCCTACCACAGTACCGCATTCCACCCACCGTGTGTGACGGCTGCGCATTTGGCTGGATAAGACTGAACCCGACTTGCACAGAACGGTCGTTGCACACCACTGTTTGATGAAGTGACGCTACGACATCAGCACAAACGATCTGATGATTGAGACGGGCGACGTATCATTGCTTAAACTCAGGCTAGCGGATAAAACTTGAATGTGCAAAGTTGCGAACAAAAAGTGGCAGTGTAGTGGAGGAACAGTTGAAGGACGGGCGGGTACTCGGATATCATTTGGAACAAGTGCGACGACAGTCTTTGAAGTCAGACGATGAACCAACAAAGGGCCCATCACCTGCATCCATAACAATATCACCGGAATCATTAACAAAAGAAGACGACATTACTACACTTCTCTAAATCCACGGTCCTCACTTCGTTAGAAACTGACCGTACAACGTTATCAAGTAGGATACGCTTAATTTAGCGATGGGTGACTGTTGTAATTGGTTGTCACGAGGCATTGTCTGTCTGTCGGCATTCGACCCTAACTCGTGATGTGAATAAAAGCGGGTTTGATCGAGCGGGCCTTGCACTGACCGTGAGTACACACTACAACTGTGTATTTTCATGGGTCGTGTTCTTATCCAGAACAGTGCAAACTGTGTTTAGGCCACCTGGGGATGCGTTTGAAGGCAAGTTTAAATGTTGCTGTATGAAAGAACCGCATTGCCCCAAGTAGGCCGATATAAGGGGTCCGGCATATCACACTAAATAGAATGCTCCTGGTCATTTTGCATACCTTGTGACCGCTGCTATTCCGGTTCAGAAGTTTTCATTAACACTACTACAATTATTTCTGTTGTTGCTATTAGCAACACTAATACCCTAAGCAGCCTTTTGTGATGAAGAGAATCGCACAGTAACGGGAACGGGCGGTTGCCTCGCGAGTTCTCCATGTGACAGATCTAGACTTCGCAACCCAATTGTGCGCAGATTCCCGGCAAGCAATGTGTGGAAAATTTCACGGAACCAGGGAGATAAGAAACAGGAACACAGAACTGCCTTCTCATCTTTCTCAAATAAAAAAACGAATAGTGTACAGATAAATAATAAGAGAGAGGGACCAAAAAGATGATGTTCTGTACAAAATGGACGTATGCAGCAGGGCATAAACTTTATGCCATAGGGGAAAGCCATCTAACACAAATCACATACTGTTTGATTTCTCAGTTGTAAAAGTGAAATAGTGTTATTTGTTCCTTTCCAACCCCAAACGCTCAACGCAAGCGCCACAGATATCATATCTTTTTAATATAATCAGTGGAATCTCTCTCTCTCCTCTCATCAGATTGAGCCATTGTGACATCAAGAATACACCAAATCACAAAGTTCAGTATAGGAGGAGGCCATGTATGACTGACGTCCCGAAATCATATCCTGATTCATCTGCGTCACTCAGAATGAGGGATAACAGCATATATTCAAAGTCCTCAGGTCTCAGTTCGCGGATGGCATGTGACTCTATCTCCATTAAGTTGAATGGAAGAAGATTTATAGGCAGGCAAACAATGACTGGGCACTTGCCGCGATACGGTGTATAGATATGGTGGCATGGGACATACCAGCGGACAGTTTCAGCAGTTACATGTTGAGACCGGTTCGATTTCTTCGATTAGGAAAACTGACAATATACTATAAATCGTCTAATTTTTTCGCACATTTTCAGTGTCAGCCAAAAGCTAACGGTGCTCCTCCAATGCCAAGTCCCTTCTCGTTGGTCTCTGTTGTGCAGTCAACATAACACATCCGGTTGGTTGATATCGCAGATCGTGGATCACGTGGCCTGAACTCGACGGCGCAGTGCAGAGATGCCCAGTGGGAATTCGGCAGCACACTCATGGCTGCGGCCGCTTGGATCTCGAAGGAAGAGGGCTGAGAACAGATGAAACATGAAAGCAGCGGCTATTATACCACATCAATCGAATGCTCAAACGATACCGCAATTAATATAGACAACTACCAAACCTCTGGTCGCTTGTAGCTTCAGTGGAATTGCACTGATTTTATAGATTCGTAGGAATTCGGAAATCGGATATGCTAACTTTATGCAGAACAAAGTACTCATAGTGATCAAGTTCAGTGTTTTTTTTAAATTACTTGGTGGCTTTCAGCAGGTACCAGATGCGCAGTTGAGGATCTTAGTAGCTTTTCAATCCATGCACCCATTCAGTAGACAGCGGATCGTAGTTCAAGTCTGTACACGACATCGTCTACCTGAAGATCCTAAACGAGCTCTGCACGCTTTGTTCCCGAGTCATGCGGAGTCGGAACACCATTACGAAGATGTATATCGTATTGAGTAGTTGGAAATCGAGGTAAAAACATTTTTCATTAGAACCCCATATATCATGCGAAAAATGAGAGCCATGCTCGCGAGTGACCAAAAGAAAGTGCTCAAAAGAGAAAGTTAATCTAACAAATTAGACATGGCAACAATTAAGTCGCTATTATGTCTTGGCTATGAATTCAGTAGTTGAGCTGCTCGGTCTTATCAGTGCAGCAATCGCGCACACAGTTCTATGAGCTTTCACACAACCGGCGCGGATCTCAAAATGATATAGACAGGCGCAGACAAAAGATCAGAGCAGGAATAGCATCCACTGAAATACAGGATTTTACGCAATTGGAACAAGGTGAGTTAAGCTATTTGTACTACATCCCGACTTACGCCACTTACATCATTCTACTCTCCTGACTAGCTGACTTATCCGATGTGTGTAGCTCTTACAGATCAGCAGCTGTGAGACGATGAAGGCTGTGACACCATATACCAAGCAAACCAAGCAACAATACGACTCGAATTTCAGAATATCAGTCAGGGTTGTGTTTCGATCGGGCCAGATAGTTCCGCAAAACATAGCGCAGATGTGCAAAGTCGGGACACAAATGTGATGTGTAATGAAGCATACAGTATTTTTCGTTCCAAGCACTACCTACCGAACAAAAGCATGTTTGGTAAAGGTTTACCTTGTCAAAGTCTAAGGCTGCGCGGTCTACGCGGTATAATTCCCAGTGCTCCGTCCGTTGGAAGGATGGCCGCGACTTGCAACGACTCGCCCGACAGTGGGTTTCTCGTCAGATTGCCAGTCGCAACTTCTCAATCGCAAGAGTTGAGCATGACTTCCAGCATACAAATTGTCATCACTCGGAGTTCGGGACTCGTTTGATTTCACATGTACACAGTTCGGCTCTACATCGAGATCGGAACATCGTTGGATTCGCGGAGACCATAGACTAAAGATTGTTGGCGTCCCAGCTTTCATGCAGGCCGTTTTAGCTTGGTTCGCTCTTTGCAGATGGGCAAGGAACGGCTGACTTCCTTGGGAAACAGCACTTGACTTACTGCTACGCCTTGTGGGACTGCGCGCCTTCTTAGGTTCTAATTTGGGCTCACTTTCGAAATCTTCGAGTTCAGTCGGGTTCCACTAGTCCCCCGCGTTTGACTCCAGTAAAACAAAGGCACGTGATCACTGCTTGTGTGCAACTGCTCCCATCTCCACGGCATTCGGTCATAACCAGTGAAAGTAACACCAGACATCCCCTCATCTATAGGCTGAATAGGTCGCATCGTTTCCAGATCAAAGTTGTACAACTTGCGAAATCTCTCCAGTTCGCGTCGGCACACCTGCTCCAGCTCCGTGACAGCATTGCTCGGCTGGTAGAAATCATCCAGAGTTGAACAACAGCAGTGGTTCGAGTTGAACAGACACCGCACAGGACACGTGCCCTCCATTCGAGTACGTCAAACCGAACAAATGTACACAGACAATAGGAAACTATGAGTACCTGGCTTCTAATCACTGATTGGTTAACAGCATGACAGTGCCTACAATTCCTCAGCCAACGAAGCTAGTGGCTAGGATTATGCCTATAGATTGTTTGACGCGGCCTTCAGGGTTGGTCGATACCCGTCACGTGCATATGTGCGTCTGCTTCATCCAGCCCTACGTGCATGTGACTGTCGCAGTTCGCCAAACTAATCGCGATCCCTGACCCAACGAGAGAGCATACGTTTGTGTGCTCTCCATCAGTGGATCGCGTGTCCCGTTGAGGACAGGCGGGGTCATCGAGGTCCGAACACTTGTCAAGCCCTAATAGCACCGCGGTGGCACCGCACACCATTGGCACAGTTCTTTGGTTGTGTGCGTGTGGATGTGGTGTGGTGAGTAACATTACACGCCTTATCGTTTGGTACATAATGTCATGGCGCATGAATTGAGTGTGTGGTTAGAATTCTCATTTTCGGCATCGAAGACAGTGCCATGTTGATATTGAAAACTTTGTCACCTCACTAGAAAATTCGAAACGTTTCGCATGATAAAGGGAAGCTCCTAGATCATAATACGACTATGCGAACTAATAACGTAAAATTAATGTTCTGTAGCTAGTACGCCAATTGGGGTGGAAGGGTGGTGACTGGACATTGTCCCCACATAAGTGCCTCTGTTTCCAAATGATTTTACGAAACTGCCTAAGGACCTGCGTTGGGACATACTCATGCACAACATCGATGCGAACATGAGTATGAGAACGACTAGTGAAACAGAACAAAATTGTTGTGGTTTGTCAGACGCCCATTGGTTTCGGGCAATGGCGGGGAAGCCAATCGATATTGGACAACTGCGGTTCGTTGTTCTGCGAAATTTTGTGGTGTATGCTAGTTAAGCGGACCTTTTCATGTGATCGACAGTCGAAACCGTGGTTTCCAACATGTCACAGGACAACCAAGTGCATAGAATATGGATGAAATTGGGACCGTTAGGAGTATGAAGCATAACTAAGGATACAACGTGTCCTCCGCAAGTCACCATGATAGATTACGGATTGGCCTCTGTCCCAGGGGGATACACGGAATTTGATTTTGACCGGACACTTTAGGAGATGCAGAGTTGTAGGCATTTCTCAACTGGCCAAGGGTGGATTTTTCCGGGTGAGTAGGTTACAATGTTTCACATCGTTAGTGGCGGGGCGAAGAACAATGAGCATGCATGACATAAACAGTAGACGACATAGTGGGGGGAACACATGAGTAATGTTTTGTCATTTATTGCGGGTACGGGTGTGGGGAATGCATTGAACTATGCAGAACGTGAAGAA